ATGTACCAATCACGTCCCCTCTAACGACCCTAACCTTGTGCCAGTACTGCCTCGTTCCCTAATCTGCATTTCGGCTGCATTTGTCATGCGGAATTGATCTATCCAACCATGCCTAAGAATCCATTGCGTAATTCTTTTAATATCACCAGGATTGTCTATCATTGCTTCGTAGGACCGGTCTTTGGCTTGTCTCCAGATCTCTCCTCTTCCATTTGACCATCGAGGGCAGGACATGATCATGCGCTTTGGATTTTGTGATTGGTAGCCACACGGACAGCATGGATCGTAGACTCCTGGTACTTTTCTTCTATGCAAATACGAATTGAGCCCGATACGCTCGCTTCGAATTTGGATTTGGATTGCTAAGCTACTTATGGCCCTTGTCAGGTTTTTATGTAGAGTAAGAAGAGTTTTCTGGAAACTTATTCTTTGACGTCCAGTATGTCGGCATTGATAGAATTTAGCTGCTTTCCAAGTTTCAGGATCTGCTGTAGCAAGTTTTTGGGGCTGTCGACTTCGCTTAGGGGTAGACCAAGATTTCGCCCATTCTAGGTATAATAATAATTATTCATTATCCTGATTTGGCGCCTTGAGGCCCATGCAGGTTTTTATCGGAAGATATGTACTTTAAGTAGGATGACTCAATTTGACGTTTAGAACACTCACACTCAGATTTCATTTGCAGATACCACTCGAGATTAACCCTTACGGCGTATAACCTCTTCCGTGCATACCCACCACAGGGAAAAGCGTGAAAAACCTGTGGCTATCCAAGTGTGCTTTCATCATCCCACAAGTACAATATCATCGCGAGAGAGAGTGGTGTGTGGGTCTGACTGGATTCGAACCAGCTTTCTCCTGTCTCGAATGGGGTAGGTGTTCAAGCTACCCAGTATCTACTTGGGAGAACGGCCCGGATAGCGTACCACTGCACCATCCAACCCAACCATTCTAGGTATGCTGCAATATTTAGCGCCTCTTTCTGTAACTCGTTAGATTTCTCCTCTCCGCAAATCTCTTTCCAGTAGGCAAGGTCTGCTCTTCTATTATTTGCTCGGATATCTTCTCTCCCTCTTTTGGGCAGCTTGATCTTATTACATGCAGATTGAATAGCTTTTTGGACTGTTCGGGAATTGGAACGGCCTACATATTGTACCCTTTGTTGCTTCAAGTAGATTTCTATTGGAAATGTGGCAGTTTCGTGTTCCAGCACCCTGGTTCTGGTCGATTTATATGCCCCTGTGACTAGTTTTAAGCAATTTCTTTGAGAACTTCGAAGTGGTTTGACTATTCTTTCAGGTATTTTACCCCCTGGTCCGGCCTCGGCCCAGATCGATGACCCTCAAAATTATTATTATTATTATAATTATTGTAAGCAGACTTATGCAAGCATAAGTCTGGATTCAGTCCAAAAGCGAAAGCACGATCTGCGTGCAGCCATGTCAGACTAGTAATGATGATCTTTTTTTTTTTTTTTTTTTTTTTTTTTTTTTTTTGCATCAGATTTTAATTGCGTATGCAGCTATCTAGCTATGACACAATATCAAAGAAAAGTACAGAAAAGATGACTCAATTTACAAGAGGAGCACTCATGCCTCGGATTTCATTTGCAAGTACCACTGCGAAGTTATGGTGGCTTTTTCTTCACCCCAAGTCAACCCTCATCCGTGAATACCCACCCAGGGGAACATCTCAAAAACCCTGAGTTATCCAGACATGCCTCCGTCATCCATCAACTTTTCTCCGCGCGAAATGTAATCTGAGATGTCTCCTTCCCAAGTGGAGTAGGTGCCCAGGCTACTCAAACTATACCGGAGAACACCACCAGAAGGCGGACCACAAGACCCTCCATTGTTTGCTTGTTTTTATAGTGTCAACTGCACTCTCGCAAGCGAAGTCTTGCCGCGCACAAAGCTCAATTCGTAAAACTCTTGCCAAAATTCGAAATTTCACTCCCGTCGAAAACGTATCCCTCTTCTGCATCATCTTGTAAACATGTCCTGATCCCTCTCACGTCCTACCCAAAGAGCTATCTCCCAGATTTGTGCTCCACGCTTTGCTTCCTCCGTCGGGTATAAATATCGGCGTGAGCGTGTATTTGGTGACCGGCTGAGGCCAGAGAAAGTCGACGAGAGGTGTGGTCATTGAAACAAGGATGTACTAGGTCGTACTTGTAGACTTGATGAAGCTTAGTTGAGAATCGGACTCTTTGGGAGTGAAAGATTGACATGGTGGAGTAATTTGAATTTTTGCCTCGTGGGCCAGCTTCTTTGATATTGCGAAATTTGACTGAACTTGGCTCTGGGAGAATATTTCACTCCCAGGTTCGTAGAGGACACCGCGTACAGGTGTTCAGTCTTGCCCTCCGAACTAGATATTACAGTGCTACGATGGACTCGTATTATTAATTCATTTTATTGTCCTGTCTGAGTCTATGACTATGTAGGACATGCAGGTCCCCTCTGCCTACAGGCCAAGGATACCTATGCCAGTAGTATATCCCCTCCTATGCCTCCCATACAGCTCCCCTCAAACAGCACCGTCCCTCAGGAGTCCTCATTCGATTATACACTCAGAGAAGCCCTTTGCCCTTCATTATCCCTCCTCTCCCCTCTCTAGCCAACGTAACAATCGACAATTTGCGGGTGTATGGCAGCCGGGAAAAATCGCAAAAACCACTAGGTGCGGGGCTGTCCTGATACCGACATTAGGACTACATCCGAAGACATAGTAACCCTTCTGAAGCATTCGAAGAGTCCAGCCAGCTTGGCGCTACACACTTATGTGTACCTCGGGAAATTCACACTCTGCCCTTCTAGCCTCCTTCCAACTCCTTCCCGAAGGTCGTGCCGAAATGTCAGAAAAGTCTTGGCAGAGCGTGATTGCTGTGTGGCAGCTTAGACGAACATCTTTTGTGCCGTCCAGGGCGCTGGGGAGTGCCGTTGACTCATCGACAATAGAGGCCCTCCTAGCTAATTAGCCTAAATCTCCGTCTTGGCGCCCACAAACGTTCCAAAGTCGAAAATATTAGACCTATTATTCCCACAGGAGGTCTCTTCCTTATATCTTTCCACGCCCCAGTCGCCTGTCCTTTATCAAGATGTATAGCTCCATTAGAGCATCAGTCCCCCATAAACCAAAATCCCGACTTTGTGTATTATGACTTAGTTTCCTCCTTGTGGGTATACGTAGCGTCGTAAATTTGTAGAGAGTGATTATCGGTAGCGATTGAGGCAAGCTCCTGTTTGAAATTGGAGTAACACCTTTATCGGTCGTTGACGCGAGATGGTATGTGGAGAGGTTAAGGTATAAGACTCTCGTGAGAATGACAAGACCAACATTAATGAGAAGTAGCCGATTATAGATGTGTCTGTGTTTGCTTTCGACTTCGATTTGGATGCGGTTCTTCTTGGCCCTTCCAGATATGCAGAGCATACTGAGTGATTACACCGGCACCACTGGAAGGTGAAGAATTCGTCTTTGCCGGCAAGCTCAAAGATTACGAAAGTGCGAATGAACCTCAATTCTTTACATACTTCAATTAGAGTAAGAGATTCATGGATCGCACCACTGACATTTGTCGAGTCTCCATTTGCCAGAATGTTGATGTCCATCGCACCCACGGACAAGGAATATCCTAAAGCCGGGTATAAGCTAGATCTTATTCCGGCTCTACCGATAGTCAAATACAGCCCTGTAACTTGATAGACATTGATAGGCAGACGCGCATTCAAATAAAATACAATCCTGCCAACCGTTTGAAAAAGTGCGGGAGGTCGGTGTAAATAGCCATTATTTGTAGCTAGTCTGAAGGCAATTAGGGTCGACTTCGAACTTGAATAAGAGTGCTCTGTCTAATGCCTGTCGAGCGATTCCTTTCAAGTACAGGCACGGCTGATGTGAGTATTCTGAATGATTCAAGACCAACAGCTACCAATGCCCTAAAAGCTCAATCGTTGGTAGAGCTGCCAGTGAGATGGGTCGTGGAGCCTGCCAAACGTTTGAGGGAAAGGAATGTCAGCAATGAGGGAGCATGATAACACAAGGCAGGCGGTCTGTAATTCATGTGGTAAGTGATTCGCGCAGATAAGCCCCTGGCAACACCTTTTCCACCTAAATTTAAACCGGGGCCCACAAACCGATTGGATCTAACCGGAGCGTTACAACAGCTGAAATCCAATGTCTCCAGCTCCGGTCGCACCATTCCGCCTCGCTTGCCCTTGCGGCCAGTCCTTCAGCACCAGAAATTTTTCTCTTGCGGCTCAATTTTGTGGACATAATGCAATAGTGCCTGATACGTGAAGACTAGTCATATCTCAGAAATGCATGATCTGCAAAGATGTGATATTTTATTGTTCTCTAGGGCCTAAGACTATATTAGGGCATATTGGTCCTTGTGCCTACGTATGGAGAATGCAGTGCCAATCATAATTCCCCAGCTCGTCAGATTACCAGCAACACACGGACGGTAAGTCAAACTCTGAAGTAAATGGCCCAGAGTCTTCATTCGATGTTTGTAACATTGTTATGCATGATTTTTCGGCAATGCTCAGCGTTAGTAGGGTCCATATACTTTACGGTTCGCTGAATTTGAGTTTCATGATCAATGCGACCGACCGAGTACGTGGGGTTTATTTGGCTTAGAATGGCCGTTATGTTACTAGGAATGTGAAGTGGGAACTGTTAAAGCGTTGAACGAGCGAATAGATCAATGTTGTCAAGATACTATCGACTTACGATACTGGCCTTCAATTTTCATGATGATTTACCAATTGATACATACTGCATTACTGAAGAACAACACAATAAGCGGAAAATAACTGTCAACAGCGCTTAGCTGAAAAAATACTCAATGCGTGTAAATACGACGCGGGATACAGTCGCACATTCCCGCACAGTTACCATATCAAAACAAGAAACGCACATTTTTCATCACTCAAACTGTAATACTGACACATAGGATGTGAATGACAAAATTAAACTGAAATCTTATCGCAATCATGAAGTCGATTCACAATTGCAGTGTTGTGTTTTTTGAAGTTTCAATCGACGATAGGCCAGCAGGCCGTATTGTTTTCAAGCTATACGTCGACGTAGCACCCGTCACGGCCGAAATCTTTCGCACCCTCTGCACTGGTGAGAGATGTTGTAGGATAAATCAAAAGGCACTCTCTTACAAGGACTCTACTTTCCATCGAGTAATCAAGAACTGCGTGATTCAGGGCGGCAGTATTATTAGAGGGAACGGATCTAGCGGAGATTTCATCAGCGGATACCAGCTTGAGGATAAAACACTCGAGCTCGAGCACGACAGGCCTTTTTTACTATCCATGGCAAACTCTGGTCCAGGTCAAATTATCTTGCGCTCAGATCTCCCTACTCGATATGCCGCCTGCTAACATATGATTTAGGATCAAACCGATATCAATTTTTAATCACAACCGTACCTACTCCACAACTGAACGGTATTCATGTAGTATTCGGTGAAGTTATCCAGGGCAGGGCGATTGTCAGTCTGATAGAATCTACACCTACGCTTCTGGGGTTTAAGCCTTGTCAAGAAATCAAGGTCACGAATTGTGGGGAGCTAACGAGTGCTCAAGCGGAGTTGGCTCGTTTGACTGCAGAGTCCAGTATTCGAGGGAAAATTAAAAATTATAGATTCTAGAATGATCAGTCCCACGCAATTTTCCAGAACTCCTCTTCAACTATACTTACTGAGTAATTGCGAATCATCATCATTCATGAAATTTCCACCACTACATGGAACATAAAAATACCCAACCAATTTGTGATTTACACGAAAGCCGATGACTGCAATCAGCAGTTCGATCCCAGCATATTTAACACAATTTAAGCATAGGGAAGTTCCCTGCTTGTAATCTAACCATTATATTTTCTCACATATTCCTGACTTATCTTCCATACTATCAACTAACATGATCTTCTTAGTAGAACAACTTAGAAAGTGAGCTATCAGTAGTGGAGGTATTGCCAAAAACAATGTAGTCAAAATTAACAAGTATATGACAGTTTTTATTAGAGACTCGAATTGGATGAATAAATAAGTCTTCGACTCCACGTTGCTGGGGCTTCTTTATTATAGCATGAAATCCTGAGATAAAAAACGTAAAGACTAAGATGTACACAAATTTGTAGTCCCTAAGAGTACGATAGCATTAAAAGCCTGACTTCATGTATCTTTTTTTACCTTAATTCTATTAAACTTCAATGATTACCTTCACTTATTCTGGTGTGCTAATGCATGCCAGTCAAGTAAATTCCAGTATTATGTGACTTGGTTTCTCAAAGCACACGTAATTATTTTTATTCCACCATATTTACCGCTTTTGTATCGAGTTATTACCGCTGATCACAGTTCATCGAATCTCTCTGATAATTACTTGTTTAGTGTCAGACAACTTTTTCCTAGTTAATGAGCGCACCTTCATGGCGCGGTGAGTGGCATTTCACACAGGTAAGGGATACAAAACCATTTAGCGAGCGGAAGCACAGGATTGATTCGATGGATTCTCTGTTAGCTACTGAAAATGTCTCTGTGCCACACTCTCTGTATCACCCTCTGGAAAAGTTACGACCTTGTTTTCATAATTCTTATGGCGTTCAAAATAGACCCTGTAGTCGTTATCTCTAATAGCATAGCGGCGATACTGCTCCTGGCTCCCCAGAATTCATTCCCAATAAATGCCCACTTTCGGCGCCTCAGGCAAATAATTTAGCGTGTTTGGTGCTTGATTAACCTCGTCCTACGTCTTCAACCTCCCAACAGATACCGCCATACAGTTGCACTACGGTCGACTCAACTAGCGGCTTCAACACCTAAAAAATCTTAGATTTCACCCATCAAATCATCATCAAATCATGGCTGAAATTCGCAGAAAACTAGTTATCGTCGGTGATGGAGCGTAAGCAGAGACTTCCGTCTATACACTTGCAAACTCACTAACGGACGTTCAGTTGTGGAAAGACTTGTTTACTGATGTTTGTTCACATTCATGTTGGGAGTGAATTTTATTGATTGATTTACAGTGTCTTCTCCAAGGGCACATTTCCAGAGGTAAACATGCTCTGATATAACATCCTCTTGTTTCTAGGGACTTATGTAAACCTATTTTACAACCGGATTGAAGATGTTGTGGAAAGATAAAAATAACTGACACTGTTAATTTAGGTCTATGTGCCAACTGTCTTCGAAAACTACGTCGCAGATGTCGAAGTGGACGGAAAGCACGTCGAACTTGCGCTTTGGGATACGGCTGGTCAAGAGGATTACGACCGCCTGAGACCACTATCATATCCAGACTCCCATGTTATCCTTATCTGTTTCGCTGTTGATTCACCGGATTCTCTTGATAACGTTCAGGAGAAGGTAAAACACCTTTTAATCATCACTTAAGTACAATCTGAACCTCTACTAAACCTTTAACACAGTGGATCTCAGAAGTATTGCATTTCTGTTGTGGTCTCCCCATAATTCTTGTCGGATGTAAGAAAGACTTGCGTTATGAACAGAAGACACTTGAGGAGCTTCACAAAACCAGTCAGAAGCCAGTGGCTCCAGAACAAGTGAGTAACACCTTAACGGAAACTTTCCTATTCTGCTGTATCGCTACTAACTAATTCAACTCTCCTAGGGTGAAGAAGTCCGAAAGAAAATAGGCGCTTACAAGTATCTTGAGTGTTCCGCCAAAACCAATGAAGGTGTTCGTGAGGTATTCGAACATGCTACGCGCGCAGCACTCTTAACCAAGAAAAAGAAGGAGAAGAGGTGCATTATCTTGTAATGTTACCGCTTCCGAGCTCGTCAAAATGCGATCGGAATTTCAAACTGCGCGGATCTTCTACTGTGGGCACGGAATTACGGAAGACACTACTATTGCAAACGCATGCACTGTTCCTCTTCGGAGTTCATTCATCCATTCTACTGATAATCAGAATTCTTGCACATCCGCCATCCAACCTTCAATACGAAGCCTATCCAAATCACCCCCTTCCGTCTAATTTCGGATCCAACTTGGCGTCGGGGCCACTTTCCCTATCAGGCTGCCAATCTCTTCGTCTCTGACTGTCCCTTATCTACAAGACCCTTGTAACATTTGCATGCGTCTTTTTCCATTATACCTACGGTCGTCCTGAGTTTATAGCTACGATCTACTACGTTGAGCTTTATGTCAGATCTACTGGTCGTAAAGGTACTGGCAAGGAGACAGGAGGTACATCTTTGTACGGTGTAATAGTGATAGGCGTAGTCTACTATGAATAATGTTCAGAGAAATGAAAAGATCCAGCTTGCCCTTTAGTTCGAACAGCATTTATTTGTACGACAATTATAAGTAAATTTCTATTGAAAAAATACAGTATATTGACCTCATCTTACCCAATGATGAGTAGAATTAGATAAACAGTGCTTTACGTTGATAAGCTGCAGAATCGTTTTAGTAAAAATGTCTCAAGCTTTTGCAAAATAGGACCCTTCAAAGTGTTACGCAAGAAGTATCCAATACTTGCAAGAATAAGGAGCCTGATCAAGAACTACACAAAGCCGACGTAATTAAACGAGTTGTATTCGCAGTGTTAATGATTACATCCGGTGGGATACATCACCCTAACTCATATAAACCCTCAATTGTGCAGATATTCGAAAAGGCCATAGCTTGTCTGAACAACGAAATTCAAACATAGATCCAAGGATTAAAATTTTACGCCACTGAGCGTAGCCATAATGAATTCTTATCTACCTAGAAAGTGTCACCTTATTTATTCTGCTACCATGATTGTACATTTGAATTGATTCCATTTAGCCCGTTCAGGTACCCTATGGGCCCATACAGGTATATCTAGGTATAATTTTTACACAGGAGGAAACCAAATTCAGTAAAACCCCCCAAAAGAGTCTGTCTCGTGTCTATTGGTTTTCAGAGGTTTCCTACAGGAAGTGCGTTTACACTGTTCATACGTTGTGAATTCCGTCCTATCCTTGTCCACATCGTCTCATCTTTTGGTCCAATGCTATCTCTACTTCTCCTGCAAGCCGGAATTGTTCAAACCAGCCTTTCACAAGGATCAATTTTATGATCCTCTCCATACCTTTTTTTTGCAGCTCTCCATATCAACTGGGCTGTTAATCATTGCTGTTGAGGACCTATCTTTTGCCTTTCGCAGATCCTCTCCTCTTCCCATTGCCCACCGAGGACACGCCAGGACCATATGTTTGATATTTTGAGACGGATATCCACACTGGAATTTTGGATTAATCACTCCGGGGACTTTCCTTCGATACAGATAAGCGTTGAGACCAATGTGCTCACTTCTTATCTGATCTGCAATACTGCTTTAGGTCCTAACAAGGGTCCTGTGGATATTTGAGGGTGTGTTTCTATATGTAAGGCTTTTTCTGCCTATTCTCTCATATGCAACAATACATGATTATACATTATTAATACACTTGATTGTCCTGTTTGTGTCTATAACTATGTAGGACATGCAGGACGTGTCTGCCTACAGGTCAAGTGCACTTATGCCTCTCACACAGCTCCCCTCAAACAGCACCGTCACTTAGGAGTCCTCATTCGATTATACACTCAGAGGAGCCCTTTTGCCCTTCATTATCCCTCCTCTCCCCTCTCCAGCCAACGTAACAATCGACAATTTGCGGGTGTATGGTGGACGGTAAAAATCGCAAAAAACATTGCCTGCGGGGCTCTCCTAATACCGACATTAGGACTACATCCGAAGACATTATGATCCTTCTGAAGCGTTCGAAGAGTGCGGCCAGCTGGGCGCTGCAGACTTGTGTGTATCTCGGGAAATCCAATCTCTACCATTCTAGCCTCCTTCCGACTCTTTCTAGAAAGTCGTTTTTCAATGTCAGGAAAAACCTTACAGAGTGTAATAGCCGTGAAGTTTGCTAGGCCAACTTCTTTTGAGCCATCTGGACCGCTGGGAGCAGTTTAAACTCATTCAAAATAGAAGCTCTCATGGCTAATTTGTCGAAATCTCAATGTTGGTGCTGATAGACGTTCCAAAGTTGAAAATCACTTGAAAATATCAGTCCAAGCGTAGTCTTCAGAGACTTCTTCCCCCTCTCGCTCCACATCTCAGCCGCTTGAAATCCTTTCAGTTGTTTGTCCCATTAGAGATATAGTCCCCTATGAGCTAGGAACCGAGCTTTAAATTTCTCGACTTAATTTCCTCGCGGGTATTAATAGCGTCGTAAATATATAGTGGGTGATGGCCAGCAGCTGTTTAAAATTCGAGATACGTCTATATCGGTCGCTGGGTCGGGGAGGTGTGTGGTAAGATTGAGGGATAACTTCTGAGAGTGTGACAGGAAAGATGTTGATGAGAAATCTTCGATTCTAGATATGCTTATATCTGCATTCGACTTTAATTCAGGTGCTATTCTTTATGGCTTTCCTAGACATGCAGAGTCTACAGAGCGGCTACACTGGCACCGCTAGAAGGTAAAGAATACGTCATTGCCGGCCCGTGAAACTATGGAAATGGGATATTACTCGATTTTCTAATAATTACTCAGAAACTGAAATACGCTATTAATACATTACGTATATTATCGGTGGCTCAGGAATGGTCCAAAACTTTAGAGCTAATGACTTTGACCTTTACTGGCCCCCGAAAGAAGCAGACAGTCTATCTTCAAGCCTCTTGCTTAATGTTGGAAAGGCTAGCAGAGACGAATTCATCACCTTCTAGCGGTGCCAGTGTGGTCGCTCGGTAGGCTCTGCATGTCCTACATAGTCATAGACTCAAATTGGACAATCAAATGTATGAATGAAAAATTATTCTATGATGTTCTGGACTGGGGAAAGGAGTGTGAATATCGCCTTGAAGCACGCGCTAGCCCAGATAGTTACTGTGATGGAAACCGAGTTAGTGATGAATAATTCGATTGAGCAGACGCTATTGAAAAAAAAGTACATAACTACAACTACGCAGTCTTTCTAACATTCGGTCAGCTCTGTGAGTCTCAATGCTGATGCCGTTCGCGTAGGTCAAACACTTGCTTCATGGTCCGTATTCTCAGTAATCACTAGGGGGAATATTCTCAATACCTGTCAGTGGTGTCCCCTACAAACCTCAAGCTCTCACTATGTAGTATGCAGAGCTAACATTGAGTTACATCGTCCTCCATTGAAAAAGGAATCCAGATCGTTTTCGCGACGAGATAGTAGGGTCGGAGTCTTTCCCATCACCAGCCCTTGAACCTGGAGGAAAAGTCATGCGATGAGCTTCCGAATAGTACTCCGCACCCGAGACGACGATGGTGGACTGAAACAAGTTGAACTCTGATGTTACAAAGAAGGTAGACAAATGGATATGGGCACCTAATGTGGCTCGGGCTTCAGGTTTTTTATAAATTTTCCTGCGGACACATTTTCCAGCGCCAGTACTTTTATTCATTTAGGGTAAAAGGTTCCGTGGGAAAAGTGGCTGCATTCTACGGGTAAACATTGAGCTGAATAGCTATCCATTACAGGCAGTGTATCAATGTTCTGTCAAGGGACCAAAGAGGATAGGAGCACTATATAAGCTGCGGCCTGGGCCAGAGAGGAGCTCAATGTGCTGGGTAGTCTATGATTCGACTAGTACAAAAAATCCATGCGCACGTAAGCTCTTCAGGCATCGCTTAGCCTAGTCTTATCACTACTTGACATGTTGGTGCTAAGACAGAACCTTCACAGTAAATGAAGCCAGTATCTTACCATCCTGTGCTCGAATAATACACTGATAATGAATGTCTGCTACCTGTCTAATCTCATGATTTACAGACTTTGGGTATTTTTGTGGATACTGGGCTGACTAGTTTGTGAAAAGCTCACATGTTGTGCGCTGGCACTACGTAAATTACTTTTAAATTTAAAAAAACTATAAACTCTACATTTTTGTGTATTTCTTTGTTACATAGTTCAAGCTGCGTCGTCCATTGAGTCGCGTTGTATTTCTGTGGGCTGTCTCTGGCTGGGATGTTTATCCGGATGCTTATCCGGATGCTTGAATAGACGCCTCAAGCAAAACCACACAGCTTTCTAGACGTTTTCCTCCTGATGGTTTGTGCTAAGACTTTCATGCACTCCGTCATCATAGATAGGTTCTTGCAGGAGACATATGCCTACCTACCAGTTTTTTTAGGTTAGAACAGCAGAGATCGAAGTAAACTGTTACGTTACATTTTTCAATTGACCCTTAGTGTCTATGACCTGTTTGATCACATCAAACATCACATCTGACATAGATCGGTTACCCAGCTACCTGACAAATCTTAATTGCCCGTTGGAAAGCGATATGTAATATAATTCTTTTTTACTTTTTCATCCCATAGTATCCATAAGAGAACTCGAGCCTAGTTAATTCTTGTGAACCAAGATTCATAATTTGTTTTCTCGGGCACTTATCAAAATTGAGACTTTCCCTCGAAACTTCTTTCAAGAGACCTATTCTGACTCATTCAAGCGCACGACGTTATTTACAGCATGAAAGGACCAAGTCTGAAAGAACATCTACCCCTCTGAAGCGTTCGAAGAGGATAGCTAGCTGAACTTTGAAGACTAATGTGTACCTAAAAAAATTATCCGACTGATTAGCTTCTATTTTGAGTCTTCCTATTGCTCGCGCCCCGAGCAAAATTGGAGCTCGTGTTGATCTATCAGAAAAGTCTTGACATGTAGCACCTTATTTTAGATCAATTAATATATATTCAGCTATGTCGCTGTGACACTTACGCCCTCAGGGCTCCAAACATGCAATGAGCACGGCAGTGTAGGTGCTTGAACATGAAACACCTACACGTGACATGAATGCCAATCTAGTCTTAGCATTACTCAGCAAACACCCACACCTCTTTTTTTTTTCTTTTTTTTTTGCATCAGATTTTAATTGCGTATGCAGCTATCTAGCTATGACACAATATCAAAGAAAAGTTCAGAAAAGATGACTCAATTTACAAGAGGAGCGCTCACGCCTCGGATTTCATTTGCAAGTGCCACTGCGAAGTTATGGTAGCTTTTTCTTCACCCCAAGTCAACCCTCATCCGTAAATACCCACCCAGGGGAACGTCTCAAAAACCCTGGGTTATCCAGACATGCTTCCATCATCTTTCAACTTTTCTCCGCGCGATATGTGATCTGAGATGTCTCCTTCCCAAGTGGAGTATATGCCCAGGCTACTCAAACCATACCAGAGAACACCACCAGAAGGCGGACCACAAGACCCTCCATTGTTTGCTTGTTTTTATAGTGTCAACTGCACTCTCGCAAGCGAAGTCTTGCCGCGCACAAAGCTCAATTCGTAAAACTCTTGCCAAAATTCGAAATTTCACTCCCGTCGAAAACGTATCCCTCTTCTGCATCATCTTGTAAACATGTCCTGATCCCTCTCACGTCCTACCCAAAGAGCTATCTCCCAGATTTGTGCTCCACGCTTTGCTTCCTCCGTCGGGTATAAATATCGGCGTGAGCGTGTATTCGGTGACCGGCTGAGGCCAGAGAAGGTCGACGAGAGGTGTGGTCATTGAAACAAGGGTGTACTAGGTCGTACTTGTAGACTTGATGAAGCTTAGTTGAGAATCGGACTCTTTGGGAGTGAAAGATTGAGATGGTGGAGTAATTTGAATTTTTGCCTCGTGGGCCAGCTTCTTTGATATTGCGAAATTTGACTGAACTTGGCTCTGGGAGAATATTTCACTCCCGGGTTCGTAGAGGACACCGCGTACAGGTGTTCAGTCTTGCCCTCGTTTTTTTTCTTTTTCATATCTTAGATTCAATACTGAAATCAAGCTAATCAGTACAGTGATAACTAAATAATACAACACTCTATGCTCCCCACAAAAATTGTCAAAGATTTTTTTGTCTTCGATCTTTTTGCCATGTCCAATTTACCGCGCACTAACACATATCAACTCAGTATCATAATAAAATATCACTCAGTGTTGAAGTTGTGAGATACCTTCCTAAAAATCCAATATCCTTAATTTTAGAGACATTCTGTTATCTTTGCACAGTAATTTTGTGTGAATTGGTTCACAAAATGTTAGGTATAAGGGTCGAGTTGAGACCTTTCCTTATAGGGAATAGCGTTTCATAAAAAGGCAACAATGTATTCATAGAATTTATCCCCTTAGAGGAGAGAGGAGATAGGGATGAATTGAGTAACCCCACACAAGCTTGTGAATTGACCGTTGGTAATGTTCCGACAAAATTTAATCAATTCATGCCACAGGCTTTGTGAGAAGCCCAAATACCTAAGAAAATGTCGAGTCTCATATGAGAGTCAAATGAACTATCTTCGTCAATATGTTAGGCAAGGGAATTTTAAAAACGACGATTGCAAGACACTCGAATCTCAATTAAACTGTATTTTAAACTGGATGAATTCAGGTACATACAAACTGACTTCATTTTATTGAAAGGTTATGATGTATATGGTCGTTTACACTTGGTATCTTCAATTAAATGGTTGTAACTACTCAGGGGCTTAGAAAATACTTGAGTGATTATGACAATAATGTAATGACATTCGAATGGTATCTTATCGTGTTACTATGTTATTACCCACACCTCATGTATATAAAGCTCGCTGTGGTCACTCCTATTTCTCCTTCCACAGCTAATCTTTCTTACATTCCCAAGGCTGTCTCTCTACCATTTTCATACCTCGTGGTTGTGATACATAATCATTTCTATTTTTACATCTTTCATGAATCTTTTGACCCAAGAAACACTCATACTCTAGATTTCACTCCTAAATACAACCGAGGAATGTTTGTTTACGTAGAACACTCGACCTACCTTTCCAAATACCTATCAGAGAGAAGTTTGAAAACCATGGGCTATCCAAGTATACCTCCGTCTTTCAAACACTCGAGTACCGCAAGAAATGTGTTTGAGATTTTCCAGACTCGGGTCAGCCATCATTTCGACCAATTTTCCTGATCTCCTCACGTCCAACTCAAATATCTGCCTCACATACGTGTGCAGCACGACTCTCGTCCTCCTGCGAGTATTCGCATTCTCCTTGACATGTATTTGAAGGCTATTCGACAAGAGGTTCGATTATGGAAATGAAGGTGTACATGGTCGGAATTTATCTTTGTTGGAGTGAAATTTTGATAGGATTAGTCTCGAATCATTGCCTCGTGGGCTGAGAGCTTTTGTGTTGCGAAATTTGACTGGACTTGGTTCCGTGAGAAAAATTTATTCTCATGTTCGTGAAGCAAACCGGAACCAATCAGTCTTTGTCTTCTGTTCAAATGTTGCGGTAGAATCCCAAAATTATTGATAGAGCGAGTTTAATGTTAACTGGCCCAGATAGGGCTCCATAGTACTACGGAAAAGGGGACTGCTACTGACTTTTCCGCAATAGAAACTCTTCTAGCTACAGAGTGTCTCCGATTTGACTTTGTAGGTCTTGAGGAAATGGCTGATGGATGCAGAGGAAGCGGCGGAGGCATCGAATCTTCGCTCTTTACTTGGAGTTTCAAGGTCATGACAACCTATGTTATGGTTATGAGGTTATGTACGGCGTCTTGGAGTTTGGAGCTTAATAGTCTGCGGAGCTGAGGGTAGAGCAAGGTGTGGAGATTAAATTAATTAGAATCTATATGTACATCTATGTGTATGTAAAAGGGATAAAGCAGCCTGATCTGTCTCTACAAAAGAAGTGTTCCTAAGACCATACGCACGAGCCTCGGCTAATCCCTCGCCGTGCCTTGCTAGCCACACTTGGTTTAGTTCACGTAATGTCTCATTGCTTACACACGCCCATCCATATTGTATATCACAACAACCTAAAACTTTACTCAAACCATATTCAGCTGTTGTTGGGCATGTTGAACAGTGAAACAACCAGATTATTCAAACCGCCCAATTTTTTACTGTGAAAAACCACTACAATGCTTCCAATTCAATGAACACGACTATCCCAGTTGCAAATTGTAGAGATGGGTTAAGTCCTCTTTCAATTTGATTAAGGCTCACCTGTCAACTTTATAGGCTCCTTTCGAATGATGAGGCAGTCAAAATAGCCACACGATTTGGGATAATATTTTACGAGCTCGTCTTATAGTCAGGTTTGCCTGGTCACGATAGTTAAGGCATATTGATTCAACGGTAGTCAGAAAATTCATAGCTTATTTAAGGATGTATGCTTGACCCGTACTAAGTCCCAATAGTTGTTTTTTCGTCTAGTTAGTATTCTAAACCTACTAGCGAGACAGGAATACTGCTGGACAAAAATTTTGTGGAATTCCATTTTAGTCATGATTTAAATTAAAATCGGTGTTGATGAACGCAAAGTTTCTGGGACTCCATTTCATCTCACCTTTTTAACAGAAGATTTCTGATTATTAAGACAAATGAAAGGGAAAGGATCATAACCTTCGTCTAAGCCATTAATCTTACATTATGTAATGAAATAGAAAGATTTAGAGTAACAAGTTCGCCAACGCCAAATTTTTTCGCAGAATACAGAATGTAATCTTTTGCCAGTAACAGTAGGAATTAACTCAAAATTTACATCTTGAATGCCAGGTATTTTTTAGTCATCATGATCTCAGCCTAATTGAATAGTTATCATGCTTAATGACCTTTTACGTGAGAAAAGATGAAATTCGGTTGTGTATGATCCACACTATTGCAAATACCTCGATGCTGCGGAAGAATTACATTTTTAAGGCTTCGCGATCGTTCTCTGTGCTTAAATCGATTCCGCTTCGAGTACACGGGGGGCCAATCCTGGTTAGTTTGTGAAAAATCTTTCGTGATACTTTCTATTAACTTTTGAGTTGGAGGAAGTCACCGTTTCATAATGAGTTTCCAGGCTTTTCTTCTGTGTCTATATGCCAGACCACATAGTTTGGCAGTCCGATTACTTCGTACCCGGCCCGTTTCGCCATTTTAGCGAAACCTTCAGTTTCTGCTTGATTCTCAAATGCATAACAAGGAAAATTGATGCCTGCATAAAGCATTTAGTTTTTTTATAGTAGAGATTTGAAAGTTTGACAAACCTGATCGGTGGACGTCAGCTTTGACTATGATATTGACTCCTCCGATCCCATCAAGCTCAACTTCTTCATCTTTATTGTTTCTCCAATCTCCCATTTTTGCCATATATGTTCGACCAGTATCAAATTCTTTATATCCTATAGGGCAATGAGAATTTGTCGGTTATTCCTGAAATTGAAACCTTACCTTCCACAATAATTGTATCCTTGGGTAGTGAGCTCGCCAGTCGGAGAGCTTTATCTGACTCAATCCAGGAATTGTAGTCGACTATTTTAGGTCAGCAGACTCAGACTGCTCCTAATTTTAGATAACTCACATCTTCCTTCGATATCCTTGCCGTCTTTATATCGGTGAAACCAGATATCTTAATTTGTTAGCGGGAGAGTACATGATTGAACCAGTATAATAGGTACATACTCGGAACGATGATATCCCTATCGTGTGCGACGAGATCTTCGAGGATATTCTTGGGACTATCAACTATATCTACATCTCTCCAATAGACCCAAGAATGCTCAGGCTTGAGGGCTGCAGTCATTAAATAATTCCTAGCTCTTGCCATTATTTTCCTCCTTGGACCTTGCGCTGCAAAGCCGTGACGTTCTTCTACGTTTTGTGCTGTTCTAGTTCCAAAGCTTTTTTCAATGATAAGGGCACTATGAAATGGTTCGCTTAATGTATCGCTCTTTTTTTGTATACGTTGTAGTTCAGCCGAAAGAACAGCGAGAGTATCATCTGTCGAATCTCCGACAAGAAATCCGAGATCAATCAAATGATGTGGGTATGATAATTCAGATAGAAGGTCAAAGTATTTGGGCAAGTAAGATGCGGCGTCTCGAAGCGGTGTTAAGATTAAGATTCGCTCTTCGTTCATAACTGCTTTAGGAGTTGATTTTATGGGATTAAGATCTATTCTTCTAATGGAAGATTCATTTATCACAAGAGGCTCGTGGTGATTGAATATTATTGGTGTTTGTAGATGGGCGTTCCAGTCTACTGCCTCATTTGGAGTCATTAACATAGGAGGTTTTGATGGTCCCCAGCAGTAGAATCTAAATCATTTTTAGAAGTATTCATATCGCCGTTTATAATCGTAATAGATTTCATTCAATACGTACCTTTGCATCTCAGACGCAGATGTACGAATTCCCCTCCATATTAGCAACGCAATGCCTGTCAGGGCAACAAACAATAGGAATCTTGTTCGCGACAAGAAAACCCAAATAGCTCTTGTTGGAGGTATCTGAGCCTTCGCTGACGTCCAGGTCAGCCCCCCTTTGGGTAGCAGAACCATTGCGGCGTGACCGACTAATTCATGGAACAAATGGTGATAAGCCCCCTTGAAGTTTATTTTTAAAAATGTAGTTTTGAAAAAGTAATTTAGCAAGAGTTACAGACGATTAAAGCGTGAGCAAGCAGTCTCAAACGCTGTGATGTTATTTGCGGAATTCGTGATCACGGAGGCGGCGTAAGAGAACGGATTGTTCTACCATGCACAGCACTTCCTTGGCTCTTTATTAGCGACGTGCATTTATCCATGCGGCAACTCTCATGATTCCGTACCAAACTTCAATAACAAATTTACCTTGTGCTGAAGCATCAAAGATTTCTGAACACTATGATGTGAGGCATACGCAATTTTAGAACTTATTTTACTACAATTTTGCGAAGAAACTTCTTTTAATGACTGAAAAAAGATTGACACTGATTTGCCGAGAGCCCTCGCTTTGATTTTCTCTAGGTCTAGTAGTAGTTGTCTAGCAATTTATGACAAATTTTATCTATCAATGATGCCTATCAACCCTTCTAAGTTCGATTCTCCTAAGCCGTTTTGTATACTATGTGAAAGGGCTTCCATTGAGATAAAATGTTCCCTCGAAGGTCAACCAGGTTAAATGAGTCCAAGTTGGATATACAGACATTGGAAAATCCACTGGCAACCTCATATTATGTTCAGAAGAAGAAATCCGAGATCAAACCCAGGCGTGGAGCTAATTCGTACAAAGACCTCAAAACCCCGTCAAAATTGAAGCGAAAGAAAGTTATTGATTCAATTTCAAAGAGTATTTCGAAGGAACCGTCACTTGTCTCTTTCGTTTATGAAGATAAACCCGTTCACCCTAAGGTCAAAAGCAATACAGAGTGCTATTCAACCAATTATAACCACGATTCTAAGTCACCAACATTATCTGTAGCACAATATGATTCGACGGATATTCTTGAGAAAGCAAAAGCGCACTTAATTAGTGTAGAGCCAAAGTTGAAGAATATCATTGAGCGATACCCGTGCGATTTATTCTCCCCTGAAAGTATTAGATGCAAGGTGGAACCATTCAAGGCTTTATCATGTTCTATAATCTCTCAACAAGTATCAACTGCTGCTGCAAAAAGTATTCAAAATCGATTTGTAGCTTTATTTAACCCACTCACTCGAGATATTACTCATCATGATTTTCCGACACCGTCTCAAATTTACAGTACATCTCATTCTCTCCTCCGTACAGCAGGCTTATCGCTACGCAAAACAGAATATATCAAAGGTCTAGCCGAAAAATTTTGTACCGGCGAGATAGATGCTACGATGTTATATAATGCACCGTATGAACAGGTTTATGACACATTAATCAAAGTCCGGGGGCTAGGTAAATGGAGCATCGAGATGTTTGCATGTTTCGGGCTCAAACATATTGACATATTCTCCACTGGAGATTTAGGTATACAAAAAAACATGGCAGCCTCTATTGGTCGGGAGATTAGCGATCTCAAGGTAAAAAGCGGCAAGTGGAAATACATGAATGAGAGCGAGATGCAACAGATAGCGGAAAAGTTCAAACCATACAGGTTCAAACCCCTTATCTGGAATGATTTGAATTGAGCTGATAGAGTAACCAGAAGTGTCTACATGTGGTACATTTGGAAAATGAGTAAAAGTACTGATGCACCTGGCCTCTGAAAGCGGCCTTCTAAGAACCGTGTGATCCTCGTGTTAAAATTCAGACATACCAGACCGAACTGCACGCAATGCGGAGTGGACGAAGAATACTGATATTCGATCGCTATCAGGATTGGTGAGGTCTCCGTTAATAATGATCTCGGTGGAATATTATTTCATCACGTATTGAATATAGAATGTTTCTAAATAACCGAGGTAGAAAATATATGATTTATAGTAAATCCATTAAAATAAATGCACTCTGATCACTTGTATAACTTGATAGGAGACACTGCACAGCAAATTTAAGGCGTAGATGAATCAGGATTGATTTGATTTCCCACAGTAGTGATATGAGTTGGGTCTTATAGAAGTCCCCATCCACCAAACTATGTTCCAATTATCTACTCTATTCTAAACGTGTCTCATTCCCTCGTGTAACTGAGAAGTACTCTGTCAATGACTTGAATCATCAAAGAATGACTACTCCTTCACTTGACAGATCGTCTCTACGACTCGTCGCTTACATAGCTCGGTGAATAACAACTGACGCGTCTATTGTCCAGACAGTGCAGGGCACGTAACTAAACGAGTCGTGTAATCCGATACTGGAGGTTCGACGTTCTATCTACTAGGACATGGTCTGTTTCTCTGAAATTTTATTCCGTTTTCTCCAGGAATTATAGGACAGTATACATTTATCATGATTGACATGAGGAACTATTCCCAAGACCTGTCAGAGGTGTCACCTACAAACCTCCAGCTCTCACTGTAGAGTCTGCAGAGCCGAGATTGAGTAACTAAGTCCTCACTTTGACGAGGATTCCCAATCGCTTTCGCGGTCTGTATCGTCTTCGTCTCTCAACACATTCCCCTATCACCATTATCATGAAGCTAACCATGATCGGATCAGATGGTAAGGTCGGAGCCCCTTTCGTCAGCAGCCCTTGATCATGGAGGAGAAGCCATCCGAATAGTTTCCGGGGCGTATCCAGCACCCGATACGGAGATGGAGAATTGGAGCAAGATGGCCTCGAATGTTACAAAGAAGAGAGATATAGATGAATATGCGCACCTCATGTGGTCCCGGTGTCGAGGCCTCGCCTGGCTGGGGCTACAGGATTTTCGAAGACTTTTTCCCGTGCACGTAGTTTCCATTGCTATCATTTAATTTTTTTTGGTAGAAGGCTCCGTGGAAAAGGAGGCCGAATCCCACGGGTAAATACTGAGCTGAATGGCCACTCATGACGAGCAATATATCAATGATCTTACAAGTAAATACAGAGGCAAGGAGCACTTTACAAGTTGTAGCCTGGGCCAGAGAGGAGCCCAATGTACTAGATAGTCTAAGATTCAAGTAGTACAATAAACAAACCTCTCTCTCATGATTGACAAACTATCTGAGTGTAGGCGACACTTTAAACACTGCCATGGTTGGATGGTGCGGTGGTACATCGTCTTGGCCGGTCTGCCAAGTAGAGTCTGGATAGATTGGACACATATCCCACTTGAGACAGTAGATTGCCTGTTCAAATCCGGCAAAACACAAACACATTTCTCGCGGCGCTTATATACATGGATGACGAAGGCATGCTTGGATAATCAAAGGTTTTGAAATTCCCTTTGGTGGGTACTTACGGAGGAGGGTCGACTGTTTGTGTAAGCAAGCATACCTCATAGTGGTATTTTCGAATGAAATCCAGAGTATGAGTGTCTCTAACGTCAAAAGTGTCATCCCACATGTAAACATAACACCCGTCTTGTGTCATAGCTCTATAGCCGAATACACCTAGGTGATAAAAATTAAAAAAGACATGATATCTTGAAATCTAAATATAGACATACATCAGGAATAGATAACTTGCGGTTTTAAATACAGAAGAAAGGCACAGACCGAAGCAAACAGCCCATGTATCTATGGAAAGTTCCTATTTTTGTCTCGAGACATTTCCCTCCCCAACTTATTCGATGGTAATTCCTAGCCTTCGACATTTAACGGTTGTCAAATTTTTGAAATTGATTTTATTCAACCCGATTAGCGTTCTGTGGGCCCATGCAGGCGGCTATGTATTGTGATAACGAGGTTATGAGAAGTCTAAGAATTATCGCAATGGGTGTAACAGTCAACTTGGATGGATATAGGATAGCGCTTTAAGTCTAACGTGAAGAAGACGGATATGTATTGTAGATCTGCTATATTGATGACTATTGAATATAAGAGTGGAAAAGGTTGATCATATACAGAGGTCTAGCGGCGAGTATTTATACACAAAGACAATACATACAATATACCATCAATAGCAAGAAACCCCAACCATTCATCCATTTATGTGATTAGATATACCTGCGTGATATTATCATATTATCATGTATGGCTGAGATACTGGTGTTGTCATTGCTGTGTGTCGATGACGTATCATTGACACAAGATCGCTTGTCCTGTCGGTTACACTTGCCTAATACTAGCCATTGCCGGCAAAAACGAATTCTTCACCTTCCGGTGGTGCCAGTGTAATCGCTCAGTATGCTCTGCATATCTGGGATAGCCAAGAAGAAACGCATCCGAATCGAAGTCGAAAGCAAACACATGCATATGTCCATTTGACGACTTCTCAATCATGCAGCACTCACCATTATCTTCTGAGTCCTCAACCCCGATCTAACCACACATCATCTCGCCTCGACCGATAAATGCGTCACCCCAATTGCAAACAGGAGCTTGCCTCATTCATTACCGGCCATCACTCACTACAAATTTACGACGCTACGTATACCCGCAAAGAGGAAATCAAGTCATAATATACAAAGTTGGGGTCTTGGTTTATGGGGGACTGCTGCTCTTATGGGGTTATTTATCTCGAGGATGGACAGGCGGCTGAGATGTGGAGCGAGAGAGGAAAGAGGTCTATGAAGTCCATGCTGGGACTGACTATCTCGAGGGGTTTTCAATTTTGGATTTTTTTGTGGGTGCCAAGACAAAGATTTCGGCTAATTAGCTGAGATGGCTTCTTTTGTCGATGAGTCAACGGCACTCCCCAGCGCCCTGGACGGTCCAAAAGATGTTGGGCTAAGCTGCCGCACAGTAATCACGCTCTGCCAAGACTTTTCCGAAATTCCAGCAGGACCTTCGGGAAGGAGTTGGAAAGAGGCTAGAAGGCAGAGTGTGAATTTCCCGAGGTACTCATAAGTGTGCAGCTCCAAGCTAGCTGGACTCTTCGAATGCTTCAGAAGGGTTACTATGTCTTCGGATGTAGTCCTAATGTCGATATTAGGACAGCCCCGTACCCAGTGGTTTTTGCGATTTTTTCCGGCTGCTATACACCCGCAAATTGTCATCGTTTTGTTGACTGGAGAGGGGAGATAATGAAGGGCTAAGGGTTCCTCTTAGTGTATGATCCAATGAGGACTTGCGAGGGGTGGTACTGTTTGAGGGGAGCTGTATGGGAGGCATAGGAGGGGATAAACTACTGGTATAGGTATCCTTGGCCTGTAGGCAGAGAGGACCTGCATGTCCTACATAGTCATAGACTTAGACAGGACAATAAAACAAATTAATAACAATACTAGTCATTTCAAGTTGTGTGAACTGTAATTGGGCCTGATCACAACACTATGAACCATCTACATATTTACATGAGGGGGAAGACTTTCCATAATAAATACCCTGCCAATTCAAAACTATATCTATGCTTCTTCGATAGCCTACAGGATGTGCAATTTTCCATCATTCCGAGACAAGACTATCTCAACTACACATGAGCAAAATTTTCTTTCCCTCGTATGTCGAAAATAGATACCTGTAGTTTTTTTTCTTTTCTTGCATCAGATTCTGATTTCCTCTGCAGCTATCTAGCTACGAAATAATTCCAGATAAAGAGTACAAAATAGATGACTTAGTACACAAGAGCGTAGTGTGTCCCGAGGGAGCATAGACCCGTATCACACCTATTGAGTGTGTGGCGTAAGCCTGATACGAAATGAATTCAAATCAAATAAAATCAATACAAGAGCACTCATGCCTCGGATTTCATTTGAAAGTACCTCTGCTAAGTTATGGCGGCTTTTTCTTCACCCCAAGCCAACCTTCATCCGTAAATACCCACCCAGGGAAACGTCTCAAAAACCCCGATTTATCCAGACATGCCTCCATCATCAAATGACTTTTCTCCGCGCGAAATATAGTCCAAGGCGTCTCCTTCCCAAGTGGAGTAGGTGTCTAGGCTACCAAAACTATACCAGAGAACATCACCAGGAGGTGGACCATAGCACCTTCTATCGTTATTTTTTTTAAAAATAAAATCATTTATTGTGTATTAAGCTATCTAGATATGACATGATCGGGTCAGTCAAAATTGTTGAGGGGACTCCTCAGCCAGCCTCCATTCCCCATGTGATAGGAGGGCCTACCAAATCTTCTCCGACCGTGTCAAACCTGTCGGATAATGGCGTGGCAGTACTTGCCGCATCTCCGGCAAAAGCAGCTAGTATTTTACAGCATAGTGAAGCCATTGCTGCAAGATTTGGGAATGCTACGGTGGAAAGACAAGAGACTTGGACGATATTTGTTGTCGGTCATATTCCAAAGAAAGTTAACACATTAGACGGAGCCTATGACCCACTTGAAGGGCTTCTACTAGAAGAGCCGGCGATTCGAGCTATAAAAGATGACACTCCTATTCGACACATAGCCTGGACACGTCGGTCTATAGACTATCTGAGCCCGTTTGGGCACATCAGAATTCATGTTCCTGAGGCGAGGGCACACAAAGTGCCATCCCGGATGCAGCTTTTCGGACAAGCAACAAGCATCCAACGAGTTTCGAACAAGCAGCTATTGCGCACCTGCAATAAATGTTTTGGCTTCCACGCCACGAGAACCTGCGCCCGACAATTTAAATGCGCCTCTCGCGGAATGGATTCTCACGAAGGTCCATGCACACGACAAATACAGTGCCTAAATTGCCGTGGGCCTCACGAATCTACTGATACCTCATGCCCGGCTCGCCCACGCAGAGATCATGGTGTATTCGTTCGCCCAACAGGGGCACAGTTGCGACATATACGCGCCGCTGGACGCAGAGAGCTTGCCAATACTTTGAGACATACTCAGGAATCGGCCGAGGGCGGTGCCGAGACCCTCACTGAACTCAACCCTACCCATTAAATATGGTCAGGAGACAGAAAAATCTAAAAATCAGACCAATCCGAATCATGCAAGTAAATGTTGGAAGAGGAGCTTACGCGCACAATATGGCTCTCCAGCTCACACACGAAAATAAAATTGACGCCCTACTCATACAAGAACCTTGGACATTAAAAGATCTAACAGCGAAAAGGTCAATCTCACACCCAAAATTTGCGCTTTTCTCACCACTAGATGAATGGCATACTCGCCCCAGAGTTCTAACCTATATTAGCAGTTCACAAGGACTGCGCTCATACCAAAGTGCAATTAATACTTCTCCAGACCTACTGCAGGTGGTTATCTCCACCGGGCGAGGTCGGAAAATAGCTGTATGGAATGTGTACAGCGCTCTAGCTGGGTCAATCAGAGCGGGAGAAGGCCTTAAAATGTTAATCGAATCGACTGGTACTCCTGAATTTGTCGGTGGAGATTTTAATTTGCGACACCCAATCTGGGACTCGCATGCCACGTACACTTCTCAGGGGGGCGCAGACTTACTAGAATGGACAAGAAAGAAAGAACTTATTCTCTTAAACCCAACGGAAATATCGACACACAAGGGCGGCGGAACTTCATATCTAGCTTTCTACTCCCTAGCTGGAGCTGAATGTGAGATCCCTTCTGACCTTCACACTACATCCGACCACGAAACAATGGTGACCACTTTAACTGGTGAATATAATGCGAATGAAAATAGTTAGAGGCGACTACGGTATGACTCAATTAATGAAGTTTTATTTACAACTCTATTGAGATGCCATAGCGACTCCCCAGATCTTTCGACAGTAGACGACATCGAAAAAGAGGCGGAAAATATTGTTAAAGTGATCCGAACGGCACTCCAGTCTGCCTGCCCTCGCGCCAGAGAGAAGAACCATGGCACTGTCTGGTGGAACAAAGATTGTAAGCTCGCAGCTCGTAGGTACTACGCAGCAAGAAGAAATGAAAAGCATGAATTCGAACAAAATGAGCTCTGAAATGCCGTCAGACGTGCGAAAAAAGAGTATTGAACTTCAAGGATCGAAAAATCGGAGTCTCTCCCAGAAGTATTTAAGATCGTGAATTGGCACAACACGCCGCCTAAATAAGTGACACCACCACTGAGGGCCCCAGATGGGGAAGCCAACATCCAGAGCCTGAAAAAAAATCAGCACTACTCCATAGAGTGCTCCTCTCCCGAAATCTGGAGGCAACCGATATCCCAGAAGAAACCCCCTCGGTAGCCGCGAGGCGTATTCCTTGGCAACCATTCTCCGAAGTAGAATTGTTCCGGACAACTTGTCAGGTATCTTCAACCTCACCAGGGGAGGATGAAATTACGGCTTCTATTATTCGACTCTCATGGCTAATATTAGGGGAGCGGATAACTAGGCTTTTCAGTAAATGCGCGGTACACGGGGTACATTCAAAGATATTCAAGCGTGCACACATTGTTATTTTGCCAAAATCTGGAAAACGGAATCGAGCACTACCTAAATCATATTGACCTATTGCTCTTCTTTACTGACTTGGAAAAAGACTTGAACGGCTCTTCGCACGGCGTTTCTCATTCTGTTCCCTGAAGTTTGATATCCTAGATAGAGGCCAGTGTAGTGCAATAAGCCGACGGTCAGCTGCGGATCTAACGACAGCATTGGTATGTGATGTTAAAGAAGCACTTCGCAAGAGGAAAATAGCAGGTATGGTGACGGTTGATGTGAAAGGGGCCTTCGATGGGGTGCTACGAAACCGACCCCTTTTTCGACTGAGGACTCAGGGATGGCCGGAGAACGTAGTGCAATGGGTAAGCTCCTTCTTTCAAAACCGGTCGGCAACAATCAGACCCTTTTCAGATTCTATGTGGCCTACCACAAGGATCTCCAACATCGCCCATTACATTTCTTCTCTATGTAGAGCCAGTCATGCGCCTTTCACGCGGATGTTTCGGCTATGCAGTTGATATTGCAATGTTCGAAACAGGCCCAAATCTCTAGGAATGCAGTCAGAGACTACAGTTAAGACTGAAAAGACCTCTACAATGGGGTAGGGACAACGGCATTCAGTTTGAAACAACGAAGACTGAGCTCCAATATTTTCATAATAAGAGAAAATATCAGGAACCTTCCTTAATGATGGAGGACACCGTAGTTCTTTCGAATGATCACACCCGCTGGCTTGGGATAGTCTTTGATAGGAAGCTATCATTCAAAGAACGTGTACGTCGAGCCTGCCAGCGCTGTCGAGTGGTCACCGACCATATCAAGAGACTATGTAACACTGTGAGAGGTGCCCAACCTGCTCTTCTGAGGCAAGCTTTACAAGGTATAGCTTTTGCATTACTTTTCTACGGAGCTGAGACGTTATATGGACCAAAAACGTCCAAGTGGGCAATAGATCAAGTCTAAAGAGCAGTTAATAGAGCAGCTCGAGCTGTATTACCAGTGTATAAAACTACCCCTGTCCCAGCTCTTTTGCGGGAAACTGGATGGGCTCCAGCAACTACCTTGCTAGAAAGAATACACGATCGCTTTGTGATTAGAGCTGCCTCGGTTGATCCTAAGCACCCATTACGAAGCCGTTGGAATACAAAATATCTCCAATGGATTAGGAGCCGCCAAAAAGTCGAATTGTCGCTGGACACTATCACCCCCCCTTGGCTTAGTCTTTATAGGAGTAAAGCAAAGGAATATATTAGAGCTATCGGCCGAGAAAAAGGTCTGATGGAATATCGAAATTGGGAGCAAAGCCAGAGACACAATTTGTTAGATCTTTTCATATATTCAGATGGGGCAATGAACAAGGAAGGGGAGGCAGGGAGTGCGTATTGCATCCACCGGGGACCAAACTCAGAAATTACCAATGCGAAGATTCCCCTCAGTCGGACTGTAGAAGTGTTTGATGCAGAAATTTTTGGCGCAGTCGAAGGGCTAAAAGGAGCCATGGCACATTTTATGGCTAAATACGCTACAAATATTGTGGTATGTCTGGATAATGAAGAAGCGGCACTACAATTGCACACTGGCTACCTAAGCCCATCCAGCTCGGTCAAAATTGCAGAATTTCAGGAATTGAGGGAAAATTGGAAAAGTAGAGTGCAATCTTCGAGAGAGGTAGAAGGTGTGGTGAAAGTACAATGGGTTCCAGATCACGCAGGGATCAAAGGAAACGAGCGTGCAGACGTATTAGCTAGGGAGGCCTGCAGCGAAACAACTACACGGACAAAAGCTTTGATATACCGAGCCAAAAGCCTCATAATGGAGCAGCACGAGAGTAGCATCATCCAATTTTGGAAGGATCACGCTCCGAGTAGATATAGGAGTCTGAACATACCTATGACAGGACAAATGGCTGAGGAATTGCAGATTTTATCTCGGAAAAATCTCGCATTACTCCTTGCTGCCCGCTCCGCTCACGGAGATTACGCCACGTATCACAGACGCTTCCAGCACCAAGACGCCAAGCTATTGTGTATCAGTGGAGAAGAAAAGGCTCCGGAACATCCCTTTGCATGCAGGAAACTTGACCAAAGTAAAACTCCGAGACCACGTCAATCTTGTAGTAAGGAGGAGGACATCATGTGGATCCTCGGCACAACAACAGGGGCGAAAGAATTCGGGAAGTGGTGCAACACAGCTCACCCATACAAATAACAAGGTTTCACAGTGTAGAAGCAAGATTAGTGGTGACATTGATAGGATTGCCTTGAAACAACTATACAAATTTGTAATTTAATCATAGTAATTTTTAAAAAAAACGGAGGGAAGTATCAAGGAGTTAGGCATTGAGGAATTTACACGAATAGAGTGGCTCAGAGCTCTACCTTGCATTAATATCAAGCATCAATTGCGAAAAAAAAAGAGAGGATACAATAGTTTTTTAGACAATAGAATTGTCCAATAGTAATAGGCTACGCAGACACGCCAAACGCCCATTCTTGGGCATAGAGGCCGGGTCATATCCGTGAACCTACTTGGCGTTAAATGCAAACAAACACAAACCTGTCGGATAACGCTGCACCAAAAGCAGCGTCAAAATCAATGCCTCAGCTTAAAGCTGCCACGAAATTAGACTGCACCCCCGAGCTTTGACCAATTATCGAAGCTGAAAAACAACACGCCGCCGGAACAGCGGCATATTGAAAGGCTATGCTGAGCTGGAATGACGTACCGTTAGGACGAAGGTATGGAAGGAGGTAGCTATGGCTTTAAGAGAAGTAAAGTTCGTGAGTTATAATCTTAGGACTTGGATCAATGGACTAACTTGAGGATATTCCCTAGTATTCTCAAGTGTGTAAATAATATGGAGATTGTTTGAATTTCCTATTGTATGAATTACTTAATTTATCTACGTGACAGGACCTTCTTCTATATACATGAATAAGGGGGTTCTGCACACTAGTGGATGTTCCAACATCTGTCCTTGTCTAACCGAGAAAGGAAGGATGTGAGAGATCCTAGCGCCAATAGATTCCTAATGGTATCTATTGGGAAATACTATGTCATACCAATGAGTGATGATTTAGTTCAATCATATCCCATGGCGCATGTGCACATTATTCTAATGTGAACAGTTTATTGTAATGCAGTCATGTTACTCCCTAAATTACAACACGGCAAACCTGGCACTCTGTTCTGCCGCCATCTCTGGCGTCGAAGCAACCCTCCTCCCTTTGACCAACGGGTCAAACAGACAATTCTCAGGCTCTACGAGAGTCTACCTACGTGCCGTCATTGCGCAATACATGGCCTCAAGTCCACCCGTCCTCGCCCGGCGAACCCCATCTCAAGGGCTCCCGACGCCTGGAGCACACCAATTCCCGCCGATCATGTGCAGACGACAAAAAGCACCTGGGCCACGGTAGCTAGAAACAGACTGTGACAAGCAGCAGTCCCTATAGTAAAGACCGTGCCGCAACTTGCGGAAAAGACCTCAAAGGCCTCAAAGAAAGACTCCCCGAAGGTGAAAGTCGACAAACGACTGTTTCTTCGCCTAGAAAAGGA